CATACATACATACATACATACATACATACATACATACATACATACATACATGCATACATATATATATATATATATATATACCTTATCTGTCCCTGGCAGATTTCAGTAGAAGCCACACTTAAGCACATGCTATCAGATAGGCACATCACACTCCTCCGCGGCGATCGCGGTCTATGTCCAGCCGTTCCATCAGCCCCCAATGCACCTGTACCTTGCCCACCGCTTTCGCTCTCCTTCTTATCCGTACCGCCACTATTTCTACCGCCGTTCTTGGACCCACTCTCCTGCTCTGTACTGCCATTGGTCTGACGGGTGGGTGTGGGCGTATGTGGGCGTGGGTAAGGCACAAAGAGTGCTCTATGCAGGTCACGTGTGCGGATGGAGTGTGGGGTGATGCTGTAGAAATGGCGCGCAACAGAGATGAAGTCCTCGGCGTCCTCTGGCGTAATGGGGCTGGGCATTGATGGTAGCAAAGCTGTGCGGATTTGAGATCGTAGGGTTTCAGGGTTTCGAGGTGTAAAGCGGATTATAAGATAGGATCAACATCTCAACATCTCAACATATACCTGAAGCCGTCATCGTTTCGGAACTTTTGAATTTACAAAATGTAGATCACGTTGTTAGGTGGCGAACATTTCAGCATCGTTTGGTATAATTCCATAGATTTAGAATGGGGCAAGCGGCATGTGTAAATAGACACATTCGGAAAGGAACATTTGCATCTTGGCTGCTACATTGCAAGTCCGTCTCGAAGTGGCCGTAGTAGTTTTAACATCCAGGCACTATCAGCACCGTACAATCAAGCGTTTAGGTTTGGGAATCACGAATAACACTACAAATTTGTCAAAGTATACAGTGTCGGTGCTCGCTGTCACTTTTATCAACACTAGTGGCTCTAAGCTGGACAGACATGTCAATTCTTAGCGACAAACATTAATATAGTGATATGCGCGTTACCAACCTTCTATCTCCGCCGTGGATTCTAATTTGAGCAAAGCTTCGCGCTGATTCACCAGAAGCGATAGCGACATGAAATACACGAGCAGTGTGTTGCCTTCAAGTAGATACACATCCCACAGGGCAAGCGCTACGGCCGTATCCACAGCGTGCGAAAATAAACTCCTCAGCTGTGAGTGAGTGTGTAGGATGGCATTAGATTGTGTATGAGATGACTATCATATATATATATATATATATATGTGTGTGTGTGTGTGTGTGTGTGTGTGTGTGTGTGTGTGTGTGTGTGTGTGTGTGTGTGTGTGTGTGTGT